TCAGCACCATACACCCACCCATGTTTCATCATCATCATCATCATCATCATCATCATCATCATCATCACCACACATATCACACATATCAAAGTGGTTTAAACCCCCCATCTCCTCTCGCGCTTCGCTTGCGCTTCGAGTGACTCCCGCAATGGCCGTGGTCATGGCGCTGGCAAATCCCAGGTACTTGGGATGTGCGAAGGCCTGGCGATGCAATGATCCACCGGGTGGTTTTTTTCTGCACCAAAAACACATGGATGGGAACAAACCGACACAAGTTTGAAAAACGTGATATGATATGTGTGATATACATGATTTTCGTGATAACTGATGATGATGATGATGATGACGATGGTTATGATTATGATGATGATGATGATGATGATGTCAGAACAATCTTCGAAATCATCTAACCCGATTATATGGAATCACTCCAGACTACCAGGTTAGATCGTCTTGGGATTCAAGTACGATGGACATCGGGTCTCTTGGGAAGACATGTCCAAGGTAGAGTCACGTCTTTGTTGACCTAAACATCCAGTCCACAACTTCAGCAGGTGCAAACCTAGGCACTTTGTTGTGCTATGTGGTGTTGTTGCATGGGTCACTTTTAGCCACATGACGAATGACATCGCGCAAATCAATCCTGACATGTCGCACATGGCTTGCTGGACAATCCCACAGCTTAAATCCATTCACTTCGATGATTTTCCCATAGCTTCCCATGAAAACTTGGGATTTCCCATACCAAAGCATCGTAAAACCAGGCGGTTCCCTCCATTCCACCTTCAAGAGCAAGTGCCCGTTGACGTGGCTGTTCACCCAGGCAGCCTTGAAGCTGGCGGAAGCTTCCGCAAAAAAGATCAAGGGAAAAAAAACATGAAATGGTTTTATTATTATGGTTTGTTTCACATGTTTTATTATGATTTGTTTATATTTGTTCCATCCAGAGATGTAGAAGATGAACATGTCTTGGACCATGACCCAACCAAATCAATATCATGTAAATTACACAGTATTTCCCAAACTTCATATTGGGATGGCTTTTGCCAGCCGGACCATGATTTACAGCGTTGTTGGTAAGTTCGCATTTTTTTCGGCCGTGGAGTCATGGATGGTTAAACTGGAGACTGTTTCTTCACGATGCTGGAACTAGAACGATTTGTCCAAAGAATCGGACATGTGAACGTTCCAAATGATCTAACATGTGAAACTGGTTGGTGGTTTCAAGCCCTCTGAAAACTATGAGTTCGTCAGTTGGGATTATTATTCCCAATATATGGAAAAATAATCCAAATGTTCCAAACCAACAACCGGATCCTATGGTTTCCCTATGGTTGTCCTATGGTTGTCCTATGGATTTCCTATGGTTTTCCTATGGTTGTCCTATGGCTTTCCTATGGTTTTCCTATGGTTTTCCTATGGTTTTCCTATGGTTGTCCTATGGTTGTCCTATGGTTTTCCATGATATGTTCCAAACCACCAACCAGATCCTATGGTTTTCCTATGGTTTTCCTATGGTTGTCCTATGGTTTTATGGTTTTCCTATGGTTTTCCTATGGTTTTCCTATGGTTGTCCTATGGTTTTCCCATGGTTGTCCTATGGTTTTCCATGATATGTTCCAAACCACCAACCAGATCCTATGGTTTTCCTATGGTTTTCCTATGGTTTTCCTATGGTTGTCCTATGGTTGTCCTATGGTTTTCCTATGGTTGTCCTATGGTTTTCCTATGGTTTTCCTATGGTTTTCCTATGGTTGTCCTATGGTTTCCATGATATGTTCCAAAGCACCAGGAAAACATTGTGAACACATTGGGATGGGGATGGATCGGGTGGGAAATCACGTCCCTGAAGGCCCGAAGGCGTGGGGCTTGGTCATGCCTTCTGGCTTTGCAAAATGACCACATTGGTACAGTGAGGTCAAGACTGTGGTACCCCAAAAAAACACGGTTGCTTATATATATATATATATATATATTATATATATATTATATATTATATATATATGACTATGTAAATATATATATATATATCAATAATTTTGTATATATATATATATGTAGATATGTTTGGACATGTTGAGACTTTCTAAAAACATCTACAATGGTGGTTTACCCAAAACATAACAGCTACAATTTGGGGATGGGTCAAACCCAACCCATAAGAATGGCGCATTTTGGGATGCTGCCGAAGTCACGGAGAGACCTCAGCTCAAGGGTCAACCGATTGACCCCACAACAAGGTGGTGCTGCATATACCTGCATGCATATCTGAGGTTAGTGATGTACATAAACATCTGGTATAGATGAAAATATAAATTCCTGGTTGGTGGTATACCTACCCCTCTGAAAAATATGAGTCAGATGGGATGATTATTCCCAATATACGGAAAAATAATCCAAATGTTCCAAACCACCAACCAGTATATGCATAATACTGCATACATATCTGGTAAAGATACAAATCTACAATTAATCACTGAGGTGACACGAAAAGTGACACTCTGTCAAGATGGCCGTGTTTTTTTTTGTTTGGCTCCTGCAGAAGCATTAGTTTGTTCATGCTGAATTTCCCATCAGGCTGACTTACCCTCTGGTTATGACTAACATAGCCATGGTATAGATGGCCCATAGAAATAGATGGTTTATCTGGGTTTACCGAACTTAAAAATGGTGATTTTCCATGGCTATGTTAATCAACCATTTACAATTTTCAACCATCCAATTGTGGATCCATCATCCTACGGGATCCGCTACTCGGATCACGCAACTGCGACGAAAAACCAAGAGACCAAAAGCCACGTTGGTGAATGACAATAGCCTCAAGGCAGAGCCAGAGGATGCAACAAAAACACACATCAAACTACCAACTGGGTTTGTTCAAATCATAGTGTGCCCAAAAATACTAATGGGGTATCATAATTTCCTCTTATCAACATGATTGTTTTTCGGGTAGAATCACATCATATCTATCCCATTTCTTGTCAAACCCTATAGAACATCTCCGACTGTCACCTTGAGGTAGCAAATGTCGCAGTCTCAACCGAAGTCAAGTATATTGGGGTCGCAATTGCATTCCTCATGCCCGAAACTGTTGAAACGTTCAATCAACTCACATAAAATGGCATCAATTGTCTCATACATAGCACCCCCTCTAAAAAACAATATGAAAATTGTAGAGCTACGGATACACATAATATGGACATCCCACAAAAAAAATGGAAAAACATCATATACCACATTATCACAATGATGGATCACATCCTGAAAATACATCAATTTCCATATACTGGTTGGGGGTTTCAACCCCTTCTGAAAAATATGAGTCAGTTGGGATTATTGTTCCCAAGGTATGGAAAAATAAAATTCATGTTCCAAACCAACAACCAGTATGAAAACAGCATTCACATGTTGAATTATTAATTATGAATTGTTTATATGTGTTTCATCCAGAGATGTAGAAGATGAGCATGTCTTGGACCATGACCCAACCCCTAAAAATACATCAATTTACATATACTGGTTGGTGGTATACCTACCCCTCTGAAAAATGATGGAGTTCGTCAGTTGGGATTATGACATTCCCAATACAGTATATGGAAAGTCATGTCATCCAGTCATGTTCCAGTCACCACCAACCAGATATATGTTCAACTTTTTTTGTGAAGCCCAACAGTTGGCATCCCTTGCCGACGCAGGGACCAGAGGCTTGGATCTGGCCATAAGCTGACAGTCGCAATGGCTTTGTTGCAGGTGGACATTCTGAGAGCCGTGACGGAACATGACTCTTCAGTACTTGGGTTTTCTTTAACACGGGGAGTACTAGATATCATGAGAATCTATAGCTATTGCTATCATCATGATATCATCTTTTTGGTGAACTAGATTTATCAGCTATTCAAATTATGTGTGTATATATATACATAATATTACCAGAATCGATAATTTCAAACCCTGGTTCAAAATCAGCAGATACCTTAAAACAAAAGCAAAGAGAGAATCTGCAAATGGAACCTCCCCAACTGAACCAGCTATAAATAGCTATGTAGGGTCATTGAATCCGGGGATTGCATTTTAGTCATCTTCAAAAAAATGGGAAAGTAAATCCCCACTAAAACAGTGAACATTGAGTTTCCTATACCTTTTAGGGGATTATTAAAACTTGACGTTTTCCTCTTCTCCTATGTTTAAGTAACGACTGGAACTCGGAACTCGGAAGGTTCATCCTAACCATCCATTCCCCAGATGTGATGGACATTCCCACCGATTTCTGCGTTGCGCTGAGTGTCTCTGAATTGTAAGAGAGCTGCTTATAGTATAAGAAATAGATAGAAATAGTATAAGTAAAAGTATCATGGTTCCTCAAGCGACATTGGATTAATCATATTAAGATATTGATAAGAACTCCAAATCCAAACTACCAAGCATTTCATGGGTCTGTCTGAAAATAGGATACCCCACCAATTTCATGGTCAATCATCATTATGTTACCTATAACTAGTGAAAATCCACTGGTTTATCATCATATTCCCTCTTAAAATGACTATAAATGGATATGAATGGTGGGCTTCTTGAAATGGATCCCCAAGTCACCATGGGTTTCAATACTCAAATGGTCTAAGTTGGGATGATGTGGGGGTACCCCCATGGCTTGGAAACCTGCATGGCTGGCGGTATTCCAAGGATCCGCTTCTCAGGCATCACCGTGTTGAGTTCGGCTGTGGCAGCAAAAGACGCCGTGGCCTACAGGGGCCCGAGGGCATGGTACCCAAAAACTGCCAAGTTATCAACTTGAACTCGATTAGACTAGAAGTGGCAAATCATGGCAATACAATTCTCAAATCAGAACTAAAAACATACTAAACCAATTTCATCCTTAATGGAATTTGGGGGTACACTATTTTCAGACAAGCCCATTCACCCACCCCACCAGGCTGAACATCTGAAAAATATCTCTGCAGGCAAGGAGCAAACAAAGCCAAAGATGGCAACAAAAAATACAACCACCGCGACCATGGCCTCAAAGTGAGGTGGTTGCAAAGTGGGAACCACTGAATCTCAACCATGGGAAGTGGGGGGGCAGGCAAGCAACCTCCAGTTTGGAATCGCTAAGTTGGTGCAAATCACTCATGTCATTCAGGTTTTCTGCAATATGAAATGCACTTAACGGAACCCAAGAAAAATGGATTGGTGGTTTCAACCCCTCTGAAAAATGTGAACTCAGTTGGGATTATTATTCCCAATATATGGAAAATAAAAGTCATGTTCCAAACCACCAACCAGAAAACGGATTGGACCTATTGTTTCTTAAACTGGAGGAACTGGAATAGGCTGCGCAACGCACCCCATTCATCAATTCCATTGGGGCTTGACCCAGCTTGATCGCAGCACGACATCTCTGCCGAGGATCATTAGGACTTGCATCACCTGCCAGTGCTTGGTTTCAGCCCATGGCATCCCAAAAAAACATGATTAGAGCGCTTCAATAAAAAATTGTCCATCCTCGATGATCTTAGCCAAGGTGCCGCAAATTGGAATTTCACCCCACATTCCTGACAGCGACGTTCAGTGTGACACAGAAAGATTGCATGATGTGTGGCCTGTTTGGATCAGCTTCTCCCACTCAACCAGGGATCACGTGGAAATTGTCTGAAAATAGGCGACCCCAAAACTTTGATGGTTCACCATCATGTCCCTTACGCAAATAACTTTGGGAGGATACCCAATTTGCAGAAGCAGCCATCAGCCACAAGTGTTGCTTGCATATCCCATTCGTATTAGTTTCCGTAAAATGCCATTAAACCACCATAAAATCTTCACAAAATCCACATTCATTGAGTAGTGATTTTGGGTTCCCCCGCCATATCTTTGACCTGTAAGGTGAGGAGCCTGGCCCCAGCATAGTCATGTGTTCTTCTTGGGGGAGCAGGGGTCGCTACGTGGAAAACTTGATTCATAGCTCCATAGAATTTTGAAGCTCCTAGGTTGAAGTCGAATCAGACGTTTGGTCCCATTATCACCATTATTTTCCATGTTGTTCTTTCCCAATGATTTTTCCCCATTCTGTATCTACAGTATATCCCGATTTTTTCCACCATTCAAACACCAACCTTTCCCCGTTCAGCACAGGACGGAGGATCCGCTACCATGATCCACACGGCAAAGCTAGAGGAAAGCTGCGAAGTCGCTTGACTCAGCTTCCATGCCTGTCGTTCCGTCCAAAATTGTAACTTTGGATGATCGATTTAATGATAATATCATACACACATATTTATAATGTATCATATTATTATATACACATACACATGTTGAAATTTTATATACACATGATACGTATGTGTACATTAATATCGATAACAACAGTGTATATATATATATAACAATTAGATGTACATATAAACATAACGTGTGTACTTTTTTTCAATGTGTGCTTTCCATTTTGGGTGTGTCCCATATGTTTCCATCAAAACACATGTTGTTACGTGTATATGTAAAATATATACAATATATATATATACAGTACATACATATATATATATATACAGTACATATATACATATATTATGTATATTACATGTATGCATACATGTATACCGGCGTAGAGAATCATTCTCCCGACCATGGATGATCTTTGAGGAACCCACCCGCGGTGAAAATCAAAAGGGCCTCCTCTGTTTCTCGCAGATCTGCCATAGATACCCTTGGAGAAAACAACAATCAGCGGCAAACAATAAGTTATGAATGGTTTGTAAAAACGCAGTTGAACTTGATATCACTGATATCACCGATACTCCGAAGAATGTGAGCAAGTCAAATTATGAACCTTCAATTAGCTGTGGATTCCTAGATTTCTTCGTCGAATTACCACACTATTACCTGGGCATCCGAGGCACTTGTCCACCCGTTCTGTTTCTGTCAGCTGTTGCACCTCGGATGAGGGATCACCAAAATTCGATAGCCAACTTACCCAACCGGCGATTACCAACCATACCCCAGAAATGCATTGAAATCGTTAAAGGAAGTTGAAATAACTTCATAAACAGGAAGAAATCGCATCAACTGACCCTAGCGGCACACAGAGATTGCAAAGTGACTTGCTTGAGTCAAGGTACACTCTTGGGCGAGACTCCCGAAGTCTGGGTTATTCTCGGAAAGTTCATGCTTGTTTACGAACCTCGTTATTTCCAGAGAAGTTCCTATACATTGGATTAGTCCCATGAAAACAGCTAGTAGAACCACATCTGAAACCATCATGTCATCTCTGAGTCTGTATCTTAACGGGACGAACATATAATATATACAAGTTCATATTGATTATTTCAAATAGGATCACTTACTTCATGATTCTGTTGAAAGAGTGCAAAACATGGTGTTTCAATGTGCTTCAAATGCCTTGATTTCCGGATTAAAACAAAGAAATATTAACATTTTTTGGCGCGGTAATTTTGTTCATCATTTCCCCGCCTGCCAAGTGAGGGTCTCTAGATTTTATCAGAGTTGCTTTCCTCTCCTCCTCCTCCTCCTCCTTCTCCCCCGCAGCCTTGGACGTCAACCGCGAGCTCCAGATCTCAGAGGGCACTGCCGGACCTCAACAGCAGCAATGTCAGAATATATGCCTTGGTGGCGGGGATCACTCGAAGTAAAGTATTCTTTTTACTTGAGCAGCGTTTAAAACACTGTGTCATCCTGTGTCATCCCTTTATGCTGGTTGTTTACTAGGCATTCCCGGTGAAAATGGATGATGAACCTTCTCCCAATATTTAAAGGATAGCATCGCCGTTTTTACAACCGTGGTAACCCGCAACCTGATAAACTGTTTCAACAGGGGCCCCCCTAACGCAGCATCCCCGCAAGCCGTAGGCACCACCAAGGAGAAGAACAAACCCTGTCCAGTCCATGAGATGCTGATCCCGAGACCTCCGAAGAAAGCGCCCACCTGGGACTCTGAAAGAGGGCTGACCACCTGGATAACGATGGGGGGAACAAGGAGATTTCCAATTGATTGAAACCATGAAAAAGGTGAAAATTGTATCACAGCCAGGCGCTTTGAACCCAAAGGGGTAAAGCTGCGAACCAACAGTAAGCTGGGAATATAGCCAAGAAGCAAGGTGATATCACCGATCAAAATTATCCAACATGGAGAGTTCACCAATTGATACCAGTTGAGCATGGGGCGATCGTCCGACACACGCAGGAACTAATATAATTAGTCCAACAACCAGATTGATATAAAGAAAAGGTAATTGCACAAATCACGATGGGTTTTAATCCAACCAACACAAAATCAATAATTATAGCGAAAATATATGAAAATATTCGAAATAAGGGGTGATTCACGCAAGTGAGACTGGCAATGATACCCAACAAAGGCGAGTGATTTCAAAACATGAACCCTCTAGGGATACCTGATTGCAATGGCTGGTTTTTGGATTACACATGGGACAACCCCAGGAATCTTGCACATTGTGCATCGAATGGAATCGCCAAACACTTCATTAATGGCAACATGGATCGTGAGGGATTGAGGACACTGACGCGTGGATCGGACACCAACTGCCTGTTGCGAAACTCTGGGATAGAACTAACATCATGTTGAATGCGAAGACTTCAGGAAACATCAGGAAACATTAGGAAGCCTCAAGTTTGCTGGAAAATCACAAAAACCAAGACCAACCAAGGAACCCGAATGCAGTCACGTAATTTAATTTTGAATTACACCAGCATAGATTGACCCCAAACAGCAACAACACATGTTTCCACGAAGGTCATGTGCAATTCAAAATTCATGGAGCTGTCTGGCACACTCCTATCTTCTGCTTTACTCCTTCATTACTTCAACCGTACAAATACGAGGCAATAAAAGAAACGCCCCGACGCATCCAGGAATCCACACAGAGTGGAGGTCCTTAATGTTCAAACGTGTCCAAAACTGGTACAAGCTGTTTTCTCTTGAGAACAATAGCGCCAGCACAAGCCCATGGAACAGAACCCTTTTCCTGAGAAAAGAAGAAGAGAGAAGAAGGGAGACAAGCACCGGAACCCCCGCCAGAACGAAGAGGAACCAGGAAATCCATGATGAAACAGAACCCCTTTCCTGAAAAAAAGAGAGAAGGGAGACAAGCACCGGAACCCAGCTCCTGTAAATCATGATGGAACAGAAGCCTTTTCCTGAGAAAAGTAAGAAGAGAGAAGAAGGGAGACAAGCACCGGAACCCCAGCCGGAACCAGGAGGAACCAGCAAATCATGATGGAACAGAACCAAGAAGAGAGAAGAAGGGAGACAAGCACCGGAACCAAAGAAGAGAGAAGGGGAGACAAGCACCGGAACCCCAGCCGGAACCAAGAGGAACCAGCAAATCATGATGGAACAGAACCAAGAAGAGAGAAGAAGGGAGACAAGCACCGGAACCAAAGAAGAGAGAAGGGGAGACAAGCACCGGAACCCCAGCCGGAACCAAGAGGAACCAGCAAATCATGATGGAACAGAACCAAGAAGAGAGAAGAAGGGAGACAAGCACCGGAACCAAAGAAGAGAGATGAAGGGAGACAAGCACCAGAACCCCAGCCGGAACCAGGAAGAAGCAGCAAATCATGATGGAACAGAACCCCTTTCAGGTGGAAAGAAAGAAGAGAGAAGAAGGGAGACAAGCATCGGAACCAAAGAAGAGAGAAGAACGGAGACAAACACCGGAATCCAGCCGGAACCAGGAGGAACCAGCAAATCATGATGGAACAGAACCCCTTTCCTGAGGAAAGAAAGAAGAGAGACAGTTTCACCGCCTTGTCATCCGAGGCCGTGAGGAGTGGAAAATCGTCCCAGGAGAAACAACACTGCGAACCACCCCGCAGCGAACCTGAAGGAACCGGGAACGATTTTTCAAACCTTCTGGTAAACCAAAAAAATTACTGAAAATCACCATTTTTCATAAGTAAATCAAAAAAACTAAATGTCCATTTTCAATGGCTATATTAAATTACCACAGGGCACCCCAGATGTGAAAAATCTGTTGGCTTTCTATGATGTGGTTGACATGAATGTGGTCAACTAACATAGATGTGGCACCTTAAACTCATATCCTCATACATCCAATGTTCAGTATCTCGTTGTGAATAAACCGGATAGGGTTAGTCCAGGCGTGTTTGGTTAGGTTAAGCATCATGTTAAACCAACCGACGAAACCACAAAACGATATTTTCCCAAATGGAGACTAAGAAAATTCCAGTGCGAAACACAGAAATGTTGGTCAAACATCCCGAGTCACGTTGTTACCGTCCCTCTCACAAAAAACAATCAATAGTTAGTTTCAAAAATCCTCTCTCAGCCTGAAGTTCATATCCAATAACTCGTTGCGAGTAAACCGGGTAGGGTTAATCCAGGCGTATCTGGTCAAGCATTATGATCATGATGTAAAACCAACCAACACAAACACAAAAATAGGTTTTCCCAAACGGAGACTCAGAAGATTCCTCTGGATATACGCAGTTGAAAATTGATAGTTTCAACCTAGCCCGGCAAAACAAAAACATACTTAGAAGCCACACAATCATGAACTTATACTTCAAATGTCTTCGAATCATCCACTAAGTCTAACTTAAACTTAGACTCTAACGTGTCTTTTTTGGGCAGACCGACGTTTTCTCTCTGATGAAACTATCCTTCTTGATTCAAATAGAGCCATCTCAAGACTCGTTGAAACTCACAAAACATGTACGTACATCCATCAACTCGCTCAAACAAATTTCGCAATTGGGCTTTGCATACCCGTATGGCGTTGGTATCACTTGTCTCTGGTCGCAAGGCAACATGCGATAACAATTTGTGTTGCAACTCGCAGATCCAAGCAAAGAAAAACTGATGCGTCTGCACAGCCTCTCCTGAGTTGCAAAAATTTGGAGGCATGCCCTGCAACCAATTCATCCCTCTTCGCGCCCCTGGTCCGCACACTGCATATTCCGCATCCAAATGTCGGGGATAATGGTCATGCCAGCTAGCCAAAAACAACCACAATTGGGTCACTTGAAATATTCCGGCATTCGGACAGCGCCGCAGATCTGCTAAGATATCAGCTTTGCGACGCCATGCGGGACCTTGCTTCCAAGTGAGATTCTGCATGCCTGCGGCATCTACTTCGTCCAACTGCTTTAGCAACTGCTCACGTGCGATTGTACGCCCCAGCTGCTTCAACTTATTGGATTGAAGTCGCACCCAGGAATGGCCACTTCCAAACTATTTAGCTACATGTTGCGTCTGTCCCCGCACAGCAGCTAGAAACATAGCACGCAGGCTCGGATTGTGCAATGCTGCCACTTCCACTACCCGAGCTCGTAGTGCAGCCATAAAGTCCACGGATGCAAAGAAGACAGCCAAGAAGGCCACCTGCCAAGATAAACCGGGACACTGCTCATAGATCTCGAGTGCTAAAGTAACTGGCCAAAATCTGTGGCTGTAATTTAGATCAAGAGATATCAAGAGATATCAAGAGCCACAATATCCGGCAATTCATTGTTGGAATCGTACTCCGCCAGAATCAAATTGGGGTTTGGCCAGAACAGACTCCACCCTGCGCCTCCTGGGCGTGCTGCTTATTCTGGGCAGCTTGGTGTAGGAGGGTTTGCCCAGAAGGGCTTACCTGGTGCAAATGGTGCCCACTCACCCCCAAAAGACATCAAGAAAACCTAAGGAAAACAAGTTTGGGATACTAAAATGTGGTGGGACGGCAAAGCGAGGGAGGACACCGGAATTCCAAATGAGAAGCAGGATCGACTTTGGCTTCCGAGGTGACTGCACTGGGACTGCGAATCAAATTATGATGCAGCCACAACTGCTAATGATGATCAAATATTGCAAAGTAAGGAACGGGGACATAACTGGTGCAGAATTGCAGGTTTCTAACCAAACTCAGGTTGAAGTAAATCATGGCCCGATCCGCCTGCTTCTTGTTTGCCTTGTGCGTTTAAATAAAACCTTCAACGACCTGATATTGCGGCGCGTGGAAAGAGGCAAAAACACTACAACCGTGTGCCAACCCTCTGATGCTGAAAAATGCCACACTCCCCCGAGAGAAACAACATTTAGCAAGAGGCATACTCAACCGCAAAACTCGGCACTGTACCTTCTCCTGACCACCTGTGAGATTTTCTGTTCCTCAGTTTCGGTGACTCTGACTTCACAAAACATTGACAGGCACCAGAAAAAAACAAAAAAAACAAATTAGATGCACCAAACATCGACAGGCACCAAGAAAAGCAAAAAAACACAAATTCCAGCAACTATTCAGAAGTGGACCATAGTTCCTGGATTTTTTAGTTTTTTTTTGGTTTTGGTGCCTGTGAAGGTTTGGTGCATCTAGTGGTTTGTTTCTTTTGTTTTTTTGGTGCCTGTGCAGGTTTGGTGCATCTAGTTGTTTGTTTGTTTTGTTTTTTTTGTGATGCCTGTGCAGGTTTGGTGACTCTAGATTGTGTATGTTTGGATCTTGGCAATATTTTAAACTGATGTTTCAAAGAAGCAAACATACCACTATCTTTGAATAGCTATGCCACCACACAGGTTGCCTGATCTTAACAGTCAACAGCATGACACACTTCTCTGTCTCTCTGGCTTATTTTTTTTCTCTCTCTCTCTCTCTCTCCCTCTAACTATTGAAATGAGACTGCTGACAAGACTCTGCAAGATAACAATGATAAACAAGATATGTACCTACTTCTTGAGTTGTCGCGTTGCCCCACGTAACCCCGATGCAAAGTAAAACCAGAACCCTTCGCTACGCATTGGGGAAAAAACATGGTACCCACATGGGAATCTCTACCACTTCATTGACTCTTGGTGCTGGATCCGATGCAGCCACGTGGCCAATGCAAGGACTTGACACCAGGGCTCATCCATGCTCCACCCTGTGGGCACTAGTCATTGTGAATTCATCTTCTGCGGAGATGTCCGTCTGCGGATCCATGGTGTAATATATCATGTAGTTGCCGATATTCCAGTCATCCATCTGGTATGACCCCTGTACTGTAAATTAAATGTTAAAATATATCTATCACACAGTTTGCACACACCCTGTGACTTGGAGCCATGGTCATTTACTCATCCCTGGCATCATATCTGGTCCGTAGCCATGCTTGCCAGTGTCAGCCAATTGCAAGCCGGGACTTAGAATCACCCAAACCAACCATCACACCGTGGGCACTCCCACAGCATCAGAAACATATTGCCACAACAGTACCAACATAATATATATATATATATATATGTTATATTATTGTTATTATATATAGAATATTAAAATATAATATATATATACATATCGAACATATGGGTGTTTCCAAAAAATGAGGGCCCAAAAACCATGACTTTCCAAGCAGCACTTTCCACACCTTGGATGATTCTCCCAAAAATCTTCAGAGTCGGATCCATAAAAGTCCATAAACACAGCAGTTTTCACATCAACATATCATCAGACTCCCTGTGTTCAGTGGCCATTTCAAGGGGGTGTGTGTAAGTGAATCCCGTCGATTCTTGATTTTATGTATCCCAAATATTTTCCAATACACCTCCATAAATTATGGATGGTTTCATACATCACTGGTTGGTGGTATACCTACCCCTCTGAAAAATATGATTTCGTCAGTTGGGATGATGAAATTCTCAATATAGGGAAAATAAACAATGTTCCAAACAACCAACCTGGATGGTTTTATACAGCCGACATGTTTTTTAGTTTACGTGGCTTCAAATCCCCAGGTTTCCACCGCTAATCCACCACTCCTTGCGGATGATCAATGATAGCAGCCACAGTGGCAAAGCACAGCATGTAGATGCTGCAGCACATGAAGCCAACCACCAAGCCTTTGGCATCGGCTTCCAAAAGAAAATGGGAGCTGGGAGAATCTATATGGGAAATCATGCTGAAATACATATATATATATATATATATATTATATATCTGGTTGGTGGTTGACCTACCCCTCTGAAAAATATGAGTTCGTCAGTTGGGATGATGACATTCCCATATATTATGGAAAAATATAAAATGTTTGAAACCACCAACCAAATATATATATAATATGCTTTGAAGTTGCTACAAATGATGGTTCAGAATGAGCCTTGATCGGTACAAAACACCTTCTATGGGCCAAAGGATTAGTTGACTGGTCATCGTAACTGGGTCAAAAACCCTTTTTTAGTGTGTTATTTATTAGCCTGTTACTAACCACTGCACAAACTCCATGCTTACAAGTTGGTTTATGGATACTTGTACCCACATTGAATCATAGTCAATCTACCGGTCAACCACTTAACCGTTATCCCATGTCCCACTCTCCCGTGCCTTGCTTAGGACTGAGGCTGCTATTCACCCAGGGAGCCAAGCTAAGCGATGCCATCACATTTACCTCGGCTGTGAAGCGGCAACCAATGGTTGGGATCCAAAGCAGACACTTTGGATTAGCCGTGAACATTCTGTGATCTGTGATCAACAAGTCACGTTTTCCGTACAGTAAGGACTTTGAAGAAGAAAAGTATTCCTCCACCCAATATGAACAAATCCACAATGAGTTCAGGAGGGTGGTATTCTCAGGGCGCTGGTGTTATTCCTCACAAAACGTTGGTTTGCCATATGGGGGCCCTCGTTATCCTACCAGGTCCTACCATCATGGGATTCCGAATGGGGGGGATGACCATGCCCTATGGATCCTATAGATCCTATGGAAAACTCTTCATCAAGGCTTGATTATAATTGCTCTATCCCATGATATCCCCATTCATATCCGACCAAATCCTCATTTTCAATGGAGTCCCGCTTGAATCCCGTTAAATCCTCATTTTCAATCAGAAATCCCCATGAAAAGTCCCCATGACATTGATTTCTCCAGCACCCAAGTGGCAGCGTATAACATGGCGTTGGCTGCACATCCCAGGTCATGACCCAATGCCTCGGCGCGGACAAACAAATTGAGCAGTTTTTCGGCCACCTGTCACCAAAAAACATTGGTTTCCCCAACTTCAGCATTTCATGGCTTGTTGTATTGAATAAAATTAGCCAACAGTTGGAGGATCCATTTTTGTTGGAGCCATATCCTATTTTCTGAAATATATTCTTCATATCTTCTTGGTCATCCCAGTCATTTCATGTTCATTGATCATATTATCCATCACATAGACATCTTCTTGGTCAATCAACATCTATGCAGGGTCATGGCTCATGGTTCCAATCTTGATCACTTCGCCAGATTGAGATTGTCCATTCCTTATCAGCTGGCTCGTCTCCATGTCATTGACCAGAAACGAACCTTGACTCGGATGACATCCCATCTTTACGGCTGGAGCCATGAAAAATACTCTGTTTCTTCATCCCATTGTACTGGCATCATCCCTGAACCAGGTAGATCCAGATATTGAAATCCATTCCAATCCCCCATTCTACAAACCAAACAAACAAAATATCAATTATATCCGCATGTTGATGGGCAAAATTCCCATCACACTTCTAAATCCTGGAATCCCATTAAACTCCTATCATGTGCCCACAAAAATATTCCGGGAATATGACTAGCCCTAGTCTCCTGCATTCACGAACTCGCTGGGATGCCCGGCAATAGACGAGCACATCATCGCAGTGGTCAATGCTGCTTGGCACAGGCTAAAGGTGCAGGCCATGTTTCGAAAAGCTCTTCGACCTCGGTCGGTTTTTCATGGTGGCCGGAAGAAACTCATCCGGAAATCCATGGGAAATCCCCGAAGCCCCGGCTATTTGAATGGGTGAAATAACTTTATGGGGGGGATTTTGTCCAGTTTTCCTGTCACCAAAGTGTTGGATGGTCAATCCCTGATATCCCAAGATTCCCATGTTGGAATCACCATGTTGGATGGTCGTTTTGCCATGAATTTCCCATGTTTTTTCTAGTTTTAACGGAGCTTTTTAAGGGATGATCCCTCCAATGGTGGCTGATGAAAATAGGGGCGGATCAGATCGCAACTCATCGCAATCAACGGGGTTCTGATCCCAAAGAACAGAGAACAAATGAGGATCTTCTTGGATACAGAATTGGGGGCTTAGAATTCATTGACAGGAGTTGGAACTTCAGTAAATGGCACCTACTGTATCCCAGAGAAGACATGATTGTGTCTGATATATGTCTAACTAGCTTGACACTATTGATCCTGATAGCCAGGCTATTGAGTTACTGGCAATCACCCCTGGCAATAGGATATGCATATGTTCAACAGGTTTGACAGGTAGATCAACACATACCTAGAGGACAATCATGTTGTCAGGTTGAATTAGCAGAGCTTAAAGTTGTGAAGCTGGTGGACAATGGGTCACACTATACAAGGCGGTGCCCCGTTTACGATAGCTAAGCTGGTAAACATCACTTGGCTCGCTACCGGGTTTATGCGGGGATATAACCACAGCTGATAATATAACATACAACAACTATGATAACTTTATATACTTATATAATGGGCTGTGTAATTCAACTTGCCTAGGCTAAGTATGGTCTATGACGGTTTATGGATGTTTATGCTAGATATCAATGGCGTTTATCAGCAAACATCATCGGGGCAACCTCAGATCTGCATTCTGGGACTGCCGCAGGCAGTTGGATCCCATTTTAAGATGTTCGTTTCCTCCCACTGGATTGAATACTGCGGTAACACCCAAAAAAATACCTCCATATTATGGGGATAGATCCCAATAACACCTCCACATTATGGGGATGGTTTGGATAGAAACTCTACTACCCATTTCCGGGATCCGATGGGATCCGATGGTAACGGTTATCAGGAAAAAAATCCACATCCGCTTGGAAAACAAGTAACTGTCATAGTTCACTGCAGCACTCATCGGTTGATCACCAGTCTTTGAACCAAAAAATGGCTTGTCTGAGCCGGAGGGTGAACCGTGCACGTTGGAGCACTGCGAGCCGCGACCCTTACAGATCCTGACAGTTCACGAAAACCTATACCTGCGGAGTATCTTCCATGGCAGAATTTTGGAATCAAAAATTCCCGCATCAAATCCATCTTTGTTTTTTTTCAAATGCGGGGTTCTGAAGTCTTTGGGGGATCCCAAGATCACCCTGTTGCTGCTGGTTATTCCGCCATCCAGCTCGCCTGGAAGCCAGCAGCCATGGCATGGATGGCATCGCCATTCTGTAATATGTAATGAAGTGCTGGGCTGGAAGGGGAAGCCTCACTAGTATCGGCCCAAAACGTGAAGATTATGTGGTTTGAGAAGTTCCAACAGGTTTCATGAGTTTTCTGAACCCCAATGATTCAACATGAGCCTAGTCATCTAAGTCCATCTAATTTCTCTTAGGCGGTGCCGGTGGTTGTTTCTGTAGCAGTTTTACAGGTGTCGCATGAGCGCCTGCTCGACGCTCGGACTGCTGCGGAATATGGAACACATCGCAGATTATTCACACAGCGACTATTTTGACATGGGGGATCTCCAAGTTACCATTTGTTTCAATACTAAACTGGACTAATTTTTGGATGATTTGGGGGTACCTCCATGACTGAGGAAACCTCCCTCACCTCCATTTAATCAAACGGTGCTGTATACCTTTTTGAAAACACATACTGAGAAGCATGAACTTGAGGCAAGATATCCGAGAAGGAAAACCATCACGTCCCAAGAGTATCCAAGAGTCATGACTGTATTCCTGGCAATCACTCTGGTTTTCTGATCCCTTTGATAAACTCTTTGGAAAGAGTTAAGTGTTTTTTCCACCACTGATCAGAGACTCTGGACTCCACACAGGAAGTGCCCATTCCCCCGGGTGATGTCTACCGCGTTATGTTCCCCCATACAACTACAGACATATATCATGATGTATCCATATATCATAGATATTCAATGATATGTATAAATCCATATGTTTATAAACCAATTCACTTAGATTTTTGTTGGTAATCTAACCTCTTATTCCATTTTGTCAACATCCAACTTCGATGGATGAACCCTGGGCTCACACGATGCCGTGACCTTCCTGTGCCAAAGGAGGGGAAGGGACAGACCTTGGGGGTGCAGGACTGGAGTGTTTTTTTTTTTTACGGAATTTCATGGGATTGAACTACCATCATTAAGGAATAAACCAACAAACATTATATGCCACAAGTGAAACTTAGAATGCCTCCCAGGTTTCCAAAACGATAATCTTAGACACTTAGAATGACTCGGTTTCGTGGGCATGCTAAGTGTTTGAAACCTGCAAAAATACACATAATTTAAAATTCTAGATTTCACTGCTTTTTGATGACATGTTCCCAAAAAACGACTATCGAAACCCAAAAATGATGACCCTTCCAGATTATTCTCACTTTTTTGTTCATCCACTTACTACCTTTTCGACGGTCATGCTAAGTGTATGAAACCTGCAAAAACACACACAAATTGACTTGCAACACTTTTGCAGCCCCAAAAAAGTGGTTCCAACTGTCTTTGCAAGATATAATAGGGAACAACTAGGGAAATACACGGGGAAACTTATAGTAACTACTGATCCTGGGATAAGGGTATGGTATGATATGGTGGTTTACCAGAAAGATCGCAAAACCTGTGAAGGGTCACCACTTTCAGCGTTACAAGCATATAACCAGATTATTTCCCTATTATTTTCCTATTATCTCCCTAGTTGTTCCCTATTATTTCCCTATTTTTCTCCTATTGTTCCCTATTATTTCCCTATTTTTCCCCTATTGTTCCCGGAGAAACATGAAGAAACCACATTCTAAGTGTTGAAAACCTTTTAAATATCAGTAAATTAAAAAAAATTGACCGGTGCAGAATTTTTTGATGATGTTTTTGCATCATTCTAAGTGTCAAACCGTTCGCCATAGCGTGGTGGGAAGATTATTTCAAAAGTAGAAGGTGCCCAAAACGTGAGTTTTGGCTTCTCCGGTGGGGCGGCGGTTTCCAAAACCACATTCTAAGTTCCGCTTGCCGTATATAACAAAAATAATGGATCTTCATGGCAATGTTTATGGGGTGTCTATAATGGGCATATACCAACAACAATAGGGCTTCATCACTAAATGAAAGAGTATATTATCTGTGATAATTTTAATGGGAAGAATAAATTTGTGATTTGGTAATTTTACCCCGATATGTTGATGTCTACCATTGTCTACCTAAAACTATACACATACACATAAATAAACTATTAAATCAATATATATATATACTGTATACATGTATATATATATATATAGACACTTGTGAAGTGGACTGTTTATAGATAGAAGGGATATGGGGACCCTATATTGTGGAATACAACCACTTAAATTATTGGAACTGCAAGCCCAGGAAGGCATGGATTCCAGGAGTCAACTGATGGATGACATGTATGAAATGGATGAGGTGGATGAGATAAACCGGATTACATTCACATATGGATATGTCACTGTGAAAAAACATCAGATATCCCATGATTGTTGGTGACATTCCATATGTCAATCATATGTTGTTTCTCGGGTAAATCACAGTCAATCCCTATCAAATTCAAATTTGATCACCATTAAACGCAATCTTTGTCACAAACCTTTACCCATAAAAATATGATTAATACAGTTTCATCCTCTTGTCAAGCCCTTACCCTTACCTACAATATTTTTTTTACCATTGGGAAGATGCTGCTGCAAAATACCGAGGATAATTGTGGGTTCAAATGTCCCATTACATTCCCATTACTGTACATCCCACTATATCCCTACTGCATGGCCATCAAAACTGTCCATGGATGTGCTCGAAAACCATGGCATGGCCATCTTGTGGGGTATTCCATGACTGTATATTATACACTTACAAAAATCCCCCATTTTCTATATATGGCCATTTAAAAAAACATTATATAAAACATGTCAAAACTGCCATGGTTTGTAGAGAAATCCCATCCCCTAATACTAAACACCACCAAGAAATCATGGTTGTTTAGGGCATGAAACCACACATTTGGGATCATAGAATGTAGGTGTTTAGTATTGGGTTTTATGGTTTTTTTCCCATTGCAGCAAATCACATCCCATGAATCCCCAATTACATAAATTATATAAATGCATTTTTTCCATGAAAAATCACTATTGTAAATCCAATTTCAAGCCATAAGAAATACCATTAATCACCATTTATCACCATTAATCACCATTAAAATCCCACCAATCCCAGGCGTGCCGGCCTCATCCACCAAGGATGTCCCGTTCTCGTCCCACAGACCCCCCGCTGCAATGGGATCGAAGGATGCGCCTTCACCAGAAAAATGTACAAATAATGGTAAGTTCACCTGCAAAAAGGGATAATTTTTGAAAGCAAACTGAAGATTTCACCAAGAATTGTGATTGATTCATGCTTGCCAAGAAGGATTTGTAGCTCAAATAACTAGGGTTCGTGTTCAAATGAATTGAACTATACAATTGGGGTTAGAAACCAACAAACACAACTTGGGGACACCACTCTGCAACATACTGGGTTCGTATTCGTGGTTGTATGTATGGAATTAAATAATATGAGGATATATGAAACCATTACCCAAATTCACCATGTTTGGAATGATCTGCCCAGATTGAAAGCAAAATGATGCAAATATCATCAAATATCTACACCGTGGGGCCCCATAGATGGGTAAGCTTGTTCAGTAAAGGGGATTCATGACATAAATTGATTGCAATAATGAAAGGGAATCATGGTAGAGATATACATTGAGTCATTGAGGGCTCGCCATCAAGAAGAATGCATTTTCATATGCGGACGCGGCCCCAAAAAAGCAACCCTGGTGGCAGCACCGTTTGAGCACAAACGGCTGACAGCCAAACGCATTCTCCACTACCAAACTGTGAGGAAACCAATTGCAACGGAGTATGTTTGGGAAGGCATGTGGCTCGAAGACAAGCAAGGGGTGTGAAACCCCCATGTGGGCGAACTCCTAGGGACACAACGCTACCCAAAACTACATCTATCCTGTTCCTCAAACCAGAATGTAAATGGGATTACGCCCCTCCCATCTGCGAGTATGTTCCGATACGCCCCTCCCATCTGTGATTAAGTCCCTCATACGTCCCGATTACCCCTGTCAAACCTGCATGAAAATCAGGGATTACGCCTCTTTGCGCCCTTTATAGTGCTCCGAAGCACGCGGACAGGATGCCCTACGACAAGTGCACGCCACACACTTCTCCCGAGATGCGCGCAAAACAGCTTCCTGACATGCGCGTTGTAAAGGCGGCACGCTGGCAGAGCGCAAGAGGTTTGCATGGTTTCTTGCGGCCCCGGAAAGTGGAGCCTCCCCACTGATTCGAAACAGCTTCTGTGTGCCATGTCCCCTCATAGTACATTTATATATCATCCCTACAATTGGATTGGCCAATAAACCAACTTCTAAGTGGGTGGGCCCACTTCATAGAATCCCTTTTTTATCACCCAGCTACTTCAGCTACTTCTTCGAAGCACCCTGGGCGTGACGCGGCGTGTTGAGGCGTCCCACATAATGCAGGGATGTATCCGGCAGCCAGGCTGTGTTCATCGATGTTCATGCCTCGAGTCATCGTCTAGCTTGCCCGGCTGAACCATGACATATTGACCCATCAATGGATGGCTTTTGCTGGGAGAATCTTAACCGGAAACCATGTATGTGTTCTTTTCTTTACCATGAAATTCATGACATATGAAGGTTTCTATTTTCGATATATGTTCTATGTTCCCATCTTCTAATTCCTGGACAGTATAATGGCTATAAAACCTCTGGCAATCTCGCAGTTTGCTGTGGAAAAATCAAGGGGAAGTACCCTCTAGATCCCTCTAAGTAAATTAACAAAACAATATGGAAAACAACCATGGTTTCTCTGATCTGTCAATCAGAATCAGGAATTCTGATACAACACCATAAAAAGTATGTGATTCTTCATTGGCCTTCAAAATGTCAACCCCATCCCACTGACATGGAACTTCAAGTGTTTTGTCTCATCCAATTTAAGTCATGTTCCATCATAAATCATGTTGTTATTGTGATCAAGGGTTGCCAATTTAATGTCACATGCTAACAAACCAATTAAATATTGTTTGTGTTTTCGTGTTGTTTGGCTAAATCAGGCCATATCCCGTTCCACACTCCAATAGACATGACAATCCCAGGATGCTGTGTCATATTTCCTTTGGTCACGATACTTAGCCCTGGTCTTTTGTATTGTCCCTAAACTGCAACAAGCAAAGTACAGTACATTGGGATCGTACTTTAGTATATTTGGGTGGTATTTACTTAGTTGTAACCCTTCGCAACATTTCATTGACCCAACCCTGAGATATAATGGGAAAACAACCATTGTGAAACCAGTGCTAGGATGTTCCCCCAATTTTCCGTGGTCGTGATTTGATGCTACTGGAAAATCACCACTTTAAAATACTTGACATAGGCAAATCAAGGGCAAATCATCTATAACTTTTCTATAACTACAGTATAAAATACTATTTCTATGGGCCATGGCTTCCATAGCTACGTCAATTCTTCCAAACCCCAGGGCGGCGTCACGTCCGTAGCTCAAAGGTCGCCAGAGGAGGAAGTCCTGACGACATCTGACGACTCACCGTGACCATCGGTGGCCAACGCCACTTGGAAAAAGGGCAACAAGTAGAGTTCGTCCCATCCCCCCTACCCTCTGGGAAACATACAAAAAGCTATTGAAATAGCCATAGAAATAGTGGATTTACCCATCAATAGCATGGTGATTTTCCATAGTTACGTTAGTTAGTTTACCAGAGGGTAATATGAAAAACACCCCTGAAATTATCCCAAATATCTCTAGAATCTGTGTAAATCATTGTAAATCCCCTACTAACCAATGGCATGGTTTCAGAAGAGTGTTTAATATTGTTTAATATTGGGGGGGCAAGGGATTAGTCCAGCCAGGCGTGAACGAACAAATCACCATTCCGGGGGTGAATCACTAAAATCTCAGGGGGGGATAAGGACTAAGAATTAAGAGCCCTAAAACAATGATGCGATTGCGGTGCTGGTGTCATACTATGGTCTTGGGGTGAATCTTCCACCCATCTTCAACCAATGGACCGCTGGAGTTCAAGCCAAAGAAGTCGGTGATCTTTCAACACATATGTGTTCAGTGAGAGAGCTTCACCAACAGCAAGACTTTTGCTGTCCGGAATTCACATTGAATATTTCATTGACTGGTGAAACGGATCCAGCTCTCTGATTGCTTTCCGGAAACTGGGATTGTGCAAAAGAGATTGCCCCTAAGTTGCAGTTTATCATCATCTTCTCTACATAAAATGGCCATCGATTCTAGACAAGGCCACCTGTCAGGGAATAACAAAACGAAACCTGTACAACTCTACAGCTCCCTCAGCTGACTGTGGATCTTAGAGCTGTCCCCACCATAGAGTGGATCACCCCACGTAACCACAGACCCGTCGTCCAGGACAGCAACGAAGGCATAGTTTGCTCCGTGAATCTGTCGCACATTCCGAAGCCCATCCTGGACTTGAGAGTGATCTCCTCCAAAGCTTGGATAGCCCCATGTCACCACGGATCTATCTGCCAAAATGGCGGCAAATGCAAACTCAGTAGCCTCGAGCTGCTTCACGTTCCTAAGCTGCCCTTGAACTTCAGAGCTGTCACCACCATATCTTGGGTCCCCCCATGCAACTACTGTCCCATCAGAGAGAATTGCAGCGAATGCACGCTCAGTGCACTTAAGCTGCTGCACATTCTTCACATGACTTGGGACTTTTGAGTTGTCACCACCAAAGTCAGGATGGCCCCAAGTAACAAGTGATCCATCAGCCAGGATTGCAGCAAATGCCTTCCATGTAGCCTGAACATGCTGTACTTCATTGAGCTGGTCTCGAACTGCAGAGCTGTCACCACCATAACGTGGATCACCCCAGGTCACGACTGATCCATCAGCCAAGATCGCAGCAAAAGCACCAATTGTGGCTTGAACCTGCTGCACACTTCGGAGCCAATTTTGAACTCCAGTGTTGTTACCACCCCGGCGTGGATGGCCCCATGACACCACTGATCCATCAGTCAAGATCGCAGCAAATGCACCAGCGCTTGACTGAACCTGCTGCACATCCTTGAGCTGATCTTGGACTGTCGAGCTGTCACCACCAAAGTCAGGATGGCCCCAGGTAACAAGTGATCCATCAGCCACGATTGCAGCAAATGCCCTGGATGTAGCCTGAACATGCTGTACTTCATTGAGCTGGTCTCGAACTGTAGAGCTGTCACCACCAAAATCTGGATGGCCCCATGTCACAACCGATCCCTCGCCCAAGATCGCAGCAAATGCACGTTCTGTTGCTTGAACCTTCTGCACACTCTTCACGGTAGCAAAGCAGTCAGCACCGTAATCTGGATGGCCCCAGGTGACGATTCTGTTGCCTCCAAAGCACCAAATTGCCAAAGCTTTTGTTGTCCCCTCTAGCCCGGCTTGTTGCGCAATGGCTATCAGGTGATCTCCATCTTGAATTCCTGCAGCTAACAATGATTCGGTCGGGTCACTCAGGATATGACCCTCTTCAGTGACAAGCCGGAGGAAGCCTTGCTGAACAACTTTCTGGGCCATAATCCTCAGGTCCCCTACTTTGGAGGACTCCGCAAGTAAAATGCTCTCGGCACGACCACTGGGCAGAAGTATCTTTACCTGAAGCATCAGCTCAACAGGAAAAAAATGGAAAAAAATTGGTCTTCAAAAACAGACAAAACAATGGTTCGAGTCTCTGAGACGTCTTGAGCCACAGATACCACAAGAGTTTGTTTAAAACAGTGGGTACCCTTAAATCCCATGGGTTTATCATATGTTTTTGCTTATTTTGAATGGCCGGCTGCCATGACTGGTGGGGATCATCATCCCCGATTTTGAAAAGACACACCGAATCAAGGCCTCGGCCAGCTTCCGGAGCATTGGAATCAGCCCCACATTCTCATTACTTAAGAGGAGCTTGGTAGTGGTATACTCATACATCAAATATACTGCATATATGTCCTTTGATATTCTTTGATGTATTTCCTACCCGTGTTCAGAATGGATGAAAGTAAAGATGTGGATGAAATGCAATTAGCAAAACCCGAAAATGTATTGATGGCAAAAAATGAAAACACCAAACGACGATTTCCCTCCCAGGTCTTTCCCTTCCATTCCCATTGTCTCCTTAGCCAACACTCGAATCTGCGACAAATGTACATAGCGCGCTGCTGGTCTAAGCCTTAAGCCGCGTCGAATTTTTGTGGGGATTTCTGGTTCATCAATGGTGCATTGATGGTTTATCAACATAAATCAATGGTTTTAACTGGGATTAATCCTTAATGATTGAGATGTTCATTGGATTTGTCTGGTCTATTAATGATGTATTAAGGGATCTTATGGTTGAGATGTTCATTGGATTTTTCTGGTCTATTCCTGATGGATCAACCGTTCCTTCTGAACAGTTTTTTTAATAGTTCAATGAATGGTTCATCTACTACATCGATCACTAAACATTATCCATGTGGGAATGGCATTCTATGATTTCGTATGATTTCCTACGGTTTACGATTTAGTTGAAAATTCTTGGGATGAATTGAACTTGTGTATGCTGTATCTTGTCCTTGGATTTCAGACGGGGAATTCTATAAATAACCGTTTCATCAATGTATAATGTGAAATAGTGTCGTGAATGAGGACGCTAGAGTTCCTTTTCCACATCAACATCATTGCACTCAAACAGCGATGAAGTACAAAAATATCCCGACAGAATTTGGCCAAATGGCTATGAGTCAAAACCCTGGTACCGTGCCGTGAACCCCAAGTCATAGCTGGGTTAAAATGGATGTTCATCCCATTAAAATATGGTATCTATAGGTATTGACCCATACCCAAATGATTTCAAACCCATCCAACATAACCAGCATTTCTGCAGTGAGTCTGAGACAGCCATATCACATTTTCACAATCACAGGTCTTCTGGGCAGGGGCTTAAAATTACTTCGAAATGGTAGCCACCATATTAAACCATAGTTAGACATAGATAGTTATAGATATTAAACCATAGAAACCATATTAAATAGTTATAGATATCTACCATAAGCATCCATAGATCGTAGTTATCGGGATTATAAATGATCGACTTAGCTGAGTATGGGGCACTCAGCTAAGTACATGATTAAATTGATTAAATCATATCCACTCATGACTCAGAAAACTCCGTAATTCTACGTCATCTCTGAGCCATCGGCAGATGCTTCTCAATATCTGGCCGTTTCAGAATCTCCTTTTTTCAAGGGCCCGGCCGGGGCCGAAAAGGCTGAGAGATCCCTGAACTAGCCATGGAGGTTTATAGCTGGGACAATCATCTATAAAAAAAAGTATTGGTGGGGTTTTAATAGCTATGTTATGCTATGTTCAACTATCGGAGGATAAGACTAAACTTTAAGTGGAACTTCACCCTCAAAGAACTGCAATTTGACGGTCATTTTGCACCAGTCCAATGGTGAAAACGAAACCAACCCCGGACCGGACGGTCGCGGGAATGTCAGACCCTAGAGGGAATGGACCCACTTATCTTACCCTCTGGTAAACTAACATATAGCTATTGAAAATGGCCATTTATAGTGAGTTTTCCCCATTAAAAATGGTGATTTTCCATAGTTATGTTAGTTTACCAGAGGGTATTATTCTGAAAACTATCAGCTATTCAAACGTGGCAATGGAAAATCCTCGAACTAAATGGAGGTTGCAATGGGAAAACCAACAAATTGAGGATTTTCCATGGCGACATTTGATTACCGGATGGTGAACAAGATCAAATCATAAATCTTTTTGGCACATAACTTTTAACTATACCCAATTTGTGTTGGTTAAATCTAATTTTTCTGTTGAGAAAGCAACATGTCCTGCGGTACGCCCAATCATAAAGCATCCCCGAATATACAGAAATATACTGTAGCAGAACATGGATGGTATATGGTTTACACTCTCCAAACTTGCAGCTTTGTTGGATTTACCACGTCATGTTTTGTTGACTATAAACCACTATACCAGGTACACAATTATATTGCGCTAAACCCATTGTATAGAGTACAAGCCATACCCAAAATTGCAGGTATTGTAATATTGCAGGTTGGCTTAAAAAAATGGCGTCTACCCGACAAAATTTTAAGCCGGGTTCATCAAGTCCACCACTCAACTGGCGATAAACTGGGGTATTAAAATATTATATATATATATAATGTTCAAATAGACCCCTTACCCATTCTTGAACTTGTTGGATATATTATGTATATATATGTATACAAATACATATACATATTGACATTCCATATCTATCACATATATATTAGCAGGAATTAACTCCCAGTATCAAATCCCATTAAAACCCTAAAGCCTATATCGCCCAAATAAAAGCCGATAAAAACCACATAAAATCCCATAAAATCCCATCAGATCCCATAAAAACACCATAGAATCCCATGAAAATCCCATGAAAATCCCATGAAAATCCCATCTTATTGTCCTATGGGATGAGTGCAGACCACCACGGCCCTTGCTCCCGCCCTTCACAGCAGTCCTGCGCTTTCTGCGCCAGACCACCTGCGGCATAGTCCAAGATGCGCATAGAAAAGCTCGACACCTCGCGTTTTGGGCCCCTTTTTAAAGGTCTCAGATTCTATTATGATAGCATTGTAAATAATATGCATATATATATATATATATATGTCCCTATGTATATATATATATATGTATATCGTTGAATAGTATATTATATAATTATATAATTATAAATATACACGGATGACATTGTATTGTTGGTTGAGAAACGATAATTCATGATATTGTTGATATTTGTTGATAATAACTGATCACACAAGATGAGAAGTTACTATTGTTACTTACTCCTGGGCAGGTGGAACATGATTTCCAAGTCGTTCCCTTTCCAGTATAATTTCAAGTACCAACCATTCCACAGTCAGGGCTCCACTGGGGTCGAAAACGTTTCATGGCAGTTCAATTTCAATGGACAAAATGTGTGTCGACCTTGATATGTTTCATAGCAACATCCAGATGCAAAGAGGCATCTGAACCCTGAATAGCAGCTTGATGACTTCACAGTCATGCATACTATTCATTTGTTGCAAAAAAACAATATCCCACTAACCAAACAAAAGGACATTCAACCGCAAAATGCTTGTGGTTCAAGTTGTTTTTCACTAATGAATCCACCAAATTGGTCGTTAAACACATGTGTGTTTCTATGTGTTTCTCCTTTCAGACTGTTGATGCACCATATTAACACCAAGCTAGTCATTTAAGTTAGTATTTGACACTAAGTGTGCCAAAGAAACAGGATAAAATTACATAATTCACCAGACTGAACCAGGATGATTCTGGGATGGTTGCCCCTACAACCTATCACTTATAATAAGGTCGCAGGGATTGGTCGTCATCAAATTCATCCAAATATATTCCCATATCCAATTGCATGCCCATGAAAAACCACTTGTTTTGTTCATCTTTTAGGCAACATTTTTCTTGGGAGAAATCTTGTTCACCCATGATATCCCCAACATTTCGGACACATCATCCTGTGTAAATTATAGAAAACTTCACCCAACTGAAAAGTTCGGCTTCTTTTCTTGAATCCTCACCATCATTCCAGTTGGGTTGAATGGATTGGTCGTTATAAGCCAGATCACCATATGATATCCAGGGGGGTTCCAATCCATGAGGTTTCCAATCCATGTGGGTACCCCAGTCATCCAGCGGTTCCAGGCCTTACCCTGAAACCAACGAATGGCATACCTGCCCAGCCCCCCAGGTGAAAAAACATATCAAAAGGTGAGTGTTGACCCAACAAAATCAGGGATAACATTGCTTTAATATGGTTTAATAACCAAAAACCGTCAAACAAGGGAATTTAAACACGAACTTAAACATGTGAATCAATATGGGATTCATAATGGGTTGTCTGTTGGTGAACGGAACTACAATAACTGTTGAATTTAAGGCGAGTGAATGGGTGACATGTGTTGAGATTGAACCAGCGTATAACTTACAACATCTTACAACTATGTTACCATGGATATGTATTAATAAACTAAGTGACGAACAGAACCCTAAAGTTTAACCAGTTGGTCCAGTTAAGTATGGGTCAGTTCAAAACACTCTGAATACCCAGATGTTGATTTATTTTTGCTGGTAAAACATCCCTTGCCAGGGTACCCAGTTTTGACCTATACCTTGTATGATATTCATATTATATTATGTGAGTATCCAGCTACCCCTAAGATGTGCAAGAGAAAACGAATGACCCGTACTTAAACTTTGAATTCATCCTTCAATACCAATCTGCAATTGGTGTTTTCAAAAGCACTTCTGCCATTCATATGCTGTAGGCATGGACCCTTCTGGCTCTGCAGCATGTTGATTTCAACGTCCAATAAAGCACTATTAATCTACTAGACTCTACTGGGGTTTCATCGGCATCTTTGGCGCGCAAACTTTGGGAATCTTCACACTCTGTCCACATGGGTGCCTCATAAAGTCTTCTAGATCCAACTCGGACCTCAGCTTGGTGTCAAAACGACACAGCCGATGCAAAAGTCAGTTCTCTTACCAGTATATATATATATACACATTAGATCATTAGATCTGTTTTTATGTACACATATGGTCAAAAAAAGAGTGGTTGCGAACGTGGTTACTCTCCAGTCAACATGGATACTGGACACCCACCATTTGTAGATCAGTCTCTGGATGGGAATGGTTGGTGTGGCCTGCAATAGAATATCACTCAGTCGTGTAGAGATGTCATGATCGTCGTCATAACTCAAGGGCATTTTCTTGTGGTTCTAATAGTTCGTCATAAACATGTTAGATATTTTTGGATATATGTCTTGGTGATAAATCCATGATATTCGATATTCTTGTTGTTTTTTTTCTGTGAATAGGGTACAAAGGGTACCCCAGTTCATCCATTGGTTCGTCATCATTATCCCTATCTATTTAAATGGCTATTTGGGGATAACAATGATGATGGCCTATGATCCCATTAATTGTCATTTCGATGGGCTTTTCATGTTCCCATAATTGCAATTTGCTTCATCATCATCCCATTTTCAGACAACAATTGTCGTATTGTTTTAATGAATTTGGTACCCCATTTTCATGATTTTCATCATTCCTATCTGGGCAAATTACAAAAAAAAAAACTGAATAGTTCGGCCATTTGGAGATGATTCCTCTTAGTCACCATGATTCCAGGGCTCGGCCGGGGATAATTACTGCTTCATCATATGAGATTTGTCAATATGGGTTTTCATTGAGATCTGCAAATTGCAACTGCTGAACATTACATTTTAGCATGTTCATCATTCCTATCTATATATGGCTCTTTGGGGATATACTTACTGGTGCTAAACGTAAGGAATGGATGGGTTGCTGGGGGTTGCTGGATTATTCATAGTGATTGTAATAAGTATTGATCATCCCATTGATCATCCCATTAATAATAATTGATATTACTGGGATCATTTTTTGTTATTCCCCATTGATCATTCCCGAAAATTCCCATTTTCAGACAACCCCCGCCCTCTATGGCTCTCCGAGTTGCCAAAGGCGTGGTGCAGGATCTCCCGCGTTGATGTAAACGGCCTGTCCAGCAGTTAAAATGCTGGATTTCACTGGGGAGTTATCCGCTTCAAATGGAAAATTGGTGATTTAACCAGCCCAACGTTGTGATTTAAATGGGAATTTAGCCAGAAAATAGAGACTTCAGAAGATTCATCGATAGAAATAACATGAAATAATGAGGTTCAACCGACAAGAAAGGTGGATGTACCTCAATCATGAGCCATTCTTAGTGGGAAAATCATCAACAATTTCTATACATTTATAAGTATCTAAAAGGGATGATTTAAGCAACACAGTTGTGGATTTGTCTCAAGATATAGTTGTTTTGCTTCCGAACAAAATTATGGGGATGTAACACACACACACAATAACCAATACACAATACCAATAAACAATATGATATGGTATTTTTATGAGCATTTTCCTTGGTGGCTAGTTGATTCCTTGCCAAACAATACAACTTTTTGTGGGAAAATATTGGCAAATCCATCCATAAAACTCCATGGAGACTTTCATGGGAAAATGGGGTTCACAAAGCAAGTTGAGACGACATATTCTGGTTGGTGGTTGAGCCCTACCCCTCTGAAAAATATGAAAGTCAATGGGAAGGATTACAGTATCCCATATATTATGGAAAAACAAAAAATGTTCCAAACCACCAACCAGTACTTGATATATTTGATGATATCAAAAGTAACAATCCATTCAATCGGTGGTGAAAGAAACATGGTCTATCAACATGGCTACTGATTCTTATGCATCATGTACCCATCATCATTGAGATTCATCGAGCAGTATCTGTGCCAAGCAAACATCCTATCAATCTTCAGTCGTCGATTTTTCCAACTCATTCATGTTTGATGTATATATCTACTTCAATTGACGACCAAACTGTTTAAACTCACTCATTGACGTGGGCAAAAGACACATCTTTCTCTTTCTGAAATCTACTCCGGAATTCCAAAGCTGCCAAGAATGCACCATCTCAGCAGTTGTTTCCCTCAACAAACACCATGCCAAAATATGTTCCCTGGGCTGGCGTGGTTCCCTTTCATGTTGGGATCCCAAATGACGTTTTTTTTTCTGCAATCTGGTTGCTACTTTCAACCCTACCAGGCCCTTCATCAACACACTGGTCCGTCTTAGGACATCATCCCAAGCATAGGTGGGACAACTGTCTGAAACCACTGCGAGATGGCAATCTTGAATACGTGGACAACCTCCACAAAAAAAAAAGTCGGATCCATAACCAACTGCTGCGCTATGATAACCCATACGCCATCCGTTTAATTTAAACAACACATTGGGCTGGCTGCCAGCAGCTTGCTCCAGTCCATTGCTCCCAACAGTACTGGATAGGGCTGACCTGTCAATGTTGTGGGATGATCCTACTTTTCTCTGACTCCCTGCAATGCACCCAACAAAAAGCTATGTTTATGATGTTTGTTGGTTTATAACGTTCATCAACTATACATCTACCACAAATCCTAGCTATATGCGCCATAAACCAAGTTAGATCTCTCCCATCATTGGCAAGTTCATCTTGATCACAACATCTTTTTTTGCCGAGTGACGGTGCGTGCGTGGAAGAAGGTGGCAAGGTCCTACGGTAGTTGAAAATATGTCCTTTCAAAACGAATGGATGGATAGTTGGTATATGTAACCATCTCACTCAATAGATACTTTAGTTAACTATGCTGATCTGAATTCAATTATTGCTACAATAAAACACACATTTTGTGGGTATACATTGATGTTATCCATCGGTCGACTACTTAACAGGTACTCAACGAGGATCCTTTGGAAATAGTAGTGGGATGGGTCCAGCTTAGTCCCCTAAAAATGCAAAGGGACTATGACTAAGATTAAGATCCTAAAAATGACAAGTTGCATGGTTTTTTGGATTCATTGGTACCCTTTGTTTCACAAAGACCCACATAGGCGGGACAGGTAGTTATGTGTATACTATACATCATGTATGTATATTATAAATAATCACATATAATCACACATTATATATATATATATAATTGTATAAGATCAAACAACAGAGGAGAGGGGTAAAACAAATAATAAAAGGCAAAAGGTGATATTTTCATTGCTGCTAATTCCCGTGGTTTTCTAGCCAATGACAATTAGCAGTACATAAACATTTCACTGAGAATTCGGTTAGCAATACATCTTGGCAACATATCTACTAATTGGGTACCATGTCCATTGCGGTGGCTACAAAAGGGTGGCATGGAAAAGCTGGTCGGGCGAAGTTTCCCAACTCCGCCCAACTGATCAATGGTGTTTGTTCCCTTGAAACCTTAGGGGTGGTGGGAATTTAGATGCTTCTTCCCAATTGAATGTAAAATTTAACGGTGGGAATTTAGATTCCTCTTCATCTTCCCCATTGAATGTAGGTTGAATAACATGGCAACACCTGGGCAAAGGCCAGACGTTGTGCGTATGTCCTGGGCCCCGTATCTGGGCCTGGTCCCGACACCAGTCCTGTCGGATATCTGAGCCCTGCGCTGTGGACGTCGAGATAGGTTGGAAACCCAGATTTTGACCAATGGAAATGGCGGGTTCCTGTAAGATTGTCCTCCATTCAATATATGAGTGGCGGACAAAATTATTTGTTCCCCATAATTGCCACAGGCCAAACTGGGTCGTCCCCTATCGGTTGTGAAGATTTTCGCTCTTTGATAACATCCGGTAGAAAATGCTGCTCGTTGCACTAATACAAGTAGAAGTAGAAGTAACAATAGAAGTAGAAGAAGAAGTAAAAGCAGTAGTGGTAGCAGTAGTAGCAGCAAGGGTAGTAGCAGTAGTAGCAGTAGCAGTAGTAGTAGCAGTAGCAGTAGCAGTAGCAGCAGCAGCAGCAGTAGTAGTAGTAGTAGGAGTAGTAGTAGCAGCAGGAGTAGGAGTAGGAGTAAGAGTAGTAGGAGTAGTAGGAGTAGTAGGAGTAGCAGGAGGAGTAGGAGTAGTAGCAGTAGTAGTAGTAGTGGTGGTGGTAGTAGTAGTAGTAGTAGTCGTCGTCGTATTAGTAGTAGTAGTAGTAGTAGTGGTGGTGGTGGTGGTGGTGGTGGTGGTAGTAGTAGTAGTACTAGTACTAGTACTAGTACTAGTAGTTGTAGTAGTAGTAGTAGTAGCAGGAGTAGTAGTAGTAGTAGTAGTAGCAGGAGTAGTAGTAGTAGTAGTAGTCGTAGTAGTAGTAGTAGTAATAGTAGTAGTAGTAGTAGCAGTAGTAGTAGGAGTAGGAGTAGTAGGAGTAGTAGGAGTAGTAGGAGTAGTAGGAGTAGTAGGAGTAGTAGGAGTAGTAGGAGTAGTAGGAGTAATAGTAGTACGGGTAGTAGGAGTAGTAGGAGTAGTAGTAGTAGGAGTAGGGGTAGTAGGAGTAGGAGTAGGAGTAGGAGTAGGAGTAGTAAGAGAAGCGGTAGCAGCAAGAGTAGTAAGTGGGAGATGGTCTCGGCAAGTGAGAATAATTGCGAAAATGGGTATCGGTTGGTATCGGTTGGGGTATCGGTGAGAATGGTGCGTGAATTGCGGCAAACAATATGTTTCGTGCTCTCCAAGAGAAAGCGAACTGAGGGTAGCTGTTTATAGCCCTGTTTGTAACCGTTGCTGTAGAAAAAAAGCACCCTACTGCAGATTATTGTGGGAACGTGTTGGAATCTAGGGGTATCGGTGTTGGGTCGTCCCCTATCGGTTGTGAAGGTTTCATGAAGGCAAGCAAAGTTCAAGGCAGCTCTCTACTACTTTCAAAGGCTAATAATTTTGTCGGATACTCATATATATATATATACACCGTATATATATATATATATATATATATTGTGAATCATGCTCATTTCCCACCAGTGTCCTTGGCCATTTTCACTTGTTGCACCATGCCATGCACGTTCAGGTAACCAAAAGGGGCTGTCTCATGCAGGCACGTGGCTCAGGAAGCCACTTGTTTTTCAGGAAGAGAGGCGGGTGGGAAAAGCCTTGACGCCATAGAACTGGCATTGGCCGTGGACGGCCGTTAGTAGCTTGGGGGCTACTTGGAGCGTTTGTGGAAAAAGCAGCGAGGCCGCTGCACGAGCTTGAAGGTTGGGCGAAGAGGCTTCGCTTGGTGATTTGGAGTTGATATCCGCTGACCAATCACATTGGTAGCGGAGCCCCCAGCAATCCAAACACGCTGGGGGCATCCGGGAACCTTTGGAAGTTTGCTTGGTGATCAGGTTTCAATTTTTGGCCTGTTGGGTTTTTCTTTGGATCCTGCGCTTACAACTCTGCAATGGCTGGTGTCGAAGGTGCAGAAGCATCCACAAGCATCCCAAGTCAGCTAGCAATTTTAGTTCCGAGTTTCGACCCATCGAAGGATGACTTACAGGTGTACCAGCAGAAGATACAGCTGGTCTTAGCAGTTTGGCCTCCTGGAAAACTGTCAGAGTTGATCACACGATTGATTTTGAACACATCAGGGTCAGCCTTTGCAAAACTCCAGTTACATCAGGAAGAGCTCTGTGTGAATGATTCGAAAGGTGTGAAACGCCTCATTGAACTCCTTGGAGGGCATTGGGGCCAAATTGGCCTTGAGAAAAAGTATGCCGACGCAGAAAGAGCTTTGTTCCAGTGCTCACAGAAGTCTGACGAGAGTCACGACTCTTTTCTGGCCCGCGCGGACATTCTGTGGACAAAGCTCAGAACCCAGAAGCTTCAGATAGAAGATCTGCAGGCTTACATCACACTGAGGGGATCGCTTCTCAGCAGCGAAGACAAGAAGCGAGTGATTCTGGAAAGTGATGCATCTCTAGAAGGGAAACTCACCATCGTTCGGGTCCAAGAGGCAATCAGACTTTTGGGAACCACGTTCTTTCAAGAGATGACAGGGTTGGCAAAGACTTCAGGAAAGACCAAAGTGTATGATCAAGTTCATGCCGCCATAGATGAAACCGAAAACCAAACTGAAGCTGATGACCCAGCTTTCACTGCCCAGCATGACGATGTACCGGAAGAAGAAGTAATGGAAGCTCTTATCGCCGAAGGCGATGAGGATGCATGTTTTGTGGCCGATTTCGAAAGTGCAGCAGCCGATTTACTTCAAGGTGATCCCGATCTTTCCTCGGCATTTTCAGCGTACACTGAGGCACGGAGGAAGCTGAGTGAAAAGGTGAGATTCCGAGGTTTCTGGCCAGTTCAGAAAGGTCGGGGAAAAGGAAACAACAAGGGAAAAGGGAAATTCAAGAATCCATGGTCAGGCCGCAAGAGCTTGCAGCAGAGGATATTGGAAAGTAACTGTAGACTGTGTGGACGAAAAGGGCATTGGAAAAGTGAGTGCCCAATGCGCAGTCAAAGTGCCTCTTCCAACACCGCAGCCTCTGCCCCAGTGACGCTCACTGTTGGAGCCCTCGCATCCATGGATGAAGTCATGCCGCTCGAGTTCATGAAGTTGCCAGAGGTGGATCCACCATCTACCCAGGACATCCGTAGTGCCACATCAATTTGTTGTGTACAGTCAGTTTTTTCCAATAGCGGTCAGTACAAGCATGTCGAGAAGGCCCATTCTGATAACATGAGGGTAACTAGGGAGAGGATTAGAAGCTATGTTCAGGGTAACTCGGATAGCCATAATCCCAAAGTGACATCCCTTGTGAGCAGGATTGAATCTCGCTTGCGTGCATCCGCCGTTGACAGCCGTGCCGAGCCCGGTGAATCTGAGAGAGCATCCGTCCCACCGGTTCCGATCCAAAGGAACGCCACCAAAGTTTCAAGCAAAGCATCCCTGGCACAAAGTGCCAATGCTGGTTTCTCCGAGATGGACAGTGCCGAAGCCTTATTTTCAACACATGATACGTGGGGAATAATAGATACGGGGGCGACCAAAACGGTTATCGGTAGTGAACATGTTCCAAGTTTTCTTCAAGGGTTGTTGCCGGAGATCAGAAAGCAGGTCAGAAGGTGCCGTTGTGATGTAGTGTTTCGTTTTGGGAACCAGGGGACCCTTAAATCAGAACACGCAATCATGGTTCCAGTAGGCGGCCTAGGCCTGAAAATCGCTGTGGTCCCAGGTGCCACACCGTTTTTACTCTCCAATACCCTGTTGAGAGCTCTTGGTGCAGTGGTTGACACCGCCACAAATGCCTTGGTCATGCCTAAACATGGTACCCAGGTCCAGCTTGCTTTGTCGCCCAAAGGTTTGTACCTGCTTGATTTAAACAAACTGATTTAGGCGGGTTGTCAAGAGAAAGATGCCTCCAGGGTTGCTGAAACTTTTGCACAAGACAGCATCGCCGAAGAAAGCAAAATATCGGAATCAATGGGTCGAGAGGAAGATGTTCAGAAGGTCGTCACAGGTTCAAAGGTGAAAGTCAGCTCGTCAGCCGAAACTCAACATCACATGTCATGCCAAGAGACCGTTTTGAAATCAACCAACATGCCGAACAGCATCATGTCCACGTCATGCAATTCAGAAGATGATCAATCCAAGTTTGTACAGAATCCGAAAGACCATCAGCCTCAAAGCAATCCCGTCGTGTCCCAAGTGATCGCATCGTGTGAACGTCATGAGCGAGTGGACCCACCGTCTCCAGAAGGTCCAAGCAGTCCTCTCACCCAGAGAGGAGGAAGCCATCGATCACATCCCACTGTCAGCTCTGAAAGAAGAGAGAATGTCATTTGGCAAAACCCACGTCGGAAAGACCTACATGGAGGTGTGGACGTCGAGCCCGGAGTGGACCAAGTGGTTCCTTCAACATTACGAGTCCAGCAAGAAGTTGTCCCATCGAAAAATGATTCGATTCATCAAGTTGATGATAGAGGAGACAGAGACTCATGGAGAAGGAGTTCAACAATCACCAGTGCCACCCGCCAGTCATGCCACTCCCAAGGTCATGATGACACGTCCCAAAGCCAAGGCAATGCCGATGACATCCAGTCATCCCGGAGAGTCGACAGGTGTGGAAATCCCGTGGGTACCGTCGGAAGAGCAGTCCGAGATCCATGCTCTTCAGGCTCGCATGGGGAATCTGGAGAATGCCTTGCACCAGATCCTGCAGCACTTGGTGCCAGAGCCGGTCGAGACCTTCCCGACGATGCCCATCGACGAGGAATGGAACGATCCCTGGAACAATTGATGGCTGAGATGACTACATGCGACTCAGCTCTGACAGCAGGGGAGGTTGACACGTTTGGAGAATCCAACTTGAACAAAGAACGTTTGCAGTTTTGGAAAACAGTGGACAAAATTGAGAAAGAGATGAGCAACATCATTTCCCAAACCAGACCACTGGGTAAATCCATAGACTTGCTTGAAGTGTTCTGCAGTGAAGATAGCAACCTGACAAATCAAGTAAACGCTCTCGGAGGGAAAGCCATGAGATTTGGACTCTGCCAAGGAGACCTGCAATCTGAAGAAGGCCGAGCCAAGCTGTTCCAGTTGATTGGAAGGCACCAGCCTAGAAATATTTGGATGAGTCCGGTTTGCAAACCCTGGTCATGTTGGTCACAGTTCAATAGTCAAAGATCCGTAGAAAGCTGGG